AGAGAGAGAGAGAGAGAACTAATAAAGAGAAAGAAAGAGAAAGAGATAGAGGGAGAGAGAAAGAAAGAGGGAGTGGGAGAGAAAGAGGGAGTGGGAGAGAAAAGGAGAGAGAAAAGAGAGAGAAAGGCAAGGAGAGAGACTGTGTGTGCGTGTTAATGTGTCCATGTATATCATGTTTTTGACAGGCACAACCTGCTGTGGGGTGGTTGGCGAGGGCACTGGTGTGGTTTGCTCCTTCTTTCCTATCGAACAACTATCGTCTGTATCTCTCCTCCTTATTTTATGTTTTTGTTACATTCTTGTAACATCTCTAATCTTCGACATTTATATGACCTAATTGTGTTGCAAGGACCTTAAAACGCTTACTAAAACTTTTTTTTAAAAACAACCTGCTCTAAAAAAAATACAACTACGCAACAAATCATTGACGCACGTTCTTTTTTTTTCTCTCCTACCTCCACAGGTGAGTCGTTTAAAGGGGCCACTCGTGTGCGTTTTCCTGTTGGTCCTACTCATGCTGCTCCCACACGTTCACGCCAAGCCGTGGCTGGAGGAGACGCCGCATGACGTCACGTTCAACGTGCCCATGTGTCGGCCGCTGTCCCAGGCTGACCTTCAGCGGATGATGGGGCCGGCGTGGGACGAGAGCCGAATGGCGCCCGATATGGCCACGGCGAAGAGGACGTTCGCGCCAGAATCTGGCGGTGCTGAGTCCAGTATCAACGGGTATCAGGGGGACGACCCTCGTGCCAGCGGCCTCACGGAAAGAGAGGACCTAGTGGCGGAGGAGAAGATGTGGGGCTCCAGCGAACTTTGGGTGAACGAGAGGGAGGAGGATATTTACACTGAGGGTGGGGTTCTGGATGGGATTGATGACAATGATGATGAGGATGGTGATGAGGGGGGAGAAGAGGAAGAGGAAGAGGTGGAAGAGGAAGAAGAGGAGGTGATTGTTGAACGAAGGACTTGGATGCCGAGAAGAGGCACGAGGCGGCATCATTCTTCATTCCGGGATCGCCGGAGATTTCGTTATCCAAAGTTTGGTTCGGACTCGGTTGAATCGAACGAGGAAGAGGAGGAGAAAAAGAGAACTGTGCTCTCCAGTCCGTACGGCTTCATGCGTCGGAGGAGACGGTCAGCCAACAGTTCTCCTTCTTCGCGAAGAGAGCGGAAGAAATCTCGATCCAGAGATGATAAAAACCATCTCAACGACGACTCTTACGACGACATGGCTGACGACAATGCATATTCTGACACTGAGGCTGATGACAATAACCCAACCTCAAACGACGAGGCCTCTAAAGACAATATTCTCCCGCTTCGACTCATTTTAAGCGGGAAGAACAAGAAGCTGAGGAGACAGCTGAAGAAGAAATTCCGCCAGAAAGCGAAGAAGTTGCGGAAAAAGGACCCTCCATGGGAGTGCAAAATGCGTCATAAGATGCTGTTCATGAAGCCGGGCGTGTTCCCGAGAGTGTTGCGGCAGGGAGAGTGCGCGTCCAACAAATGTTTCTACAGGCTCTATAACTGTGAGCCCAGCAAGTACGCCATCACGTTGTTGCAGAGAGACCCCGACCACTGCAACCCCATCCCGTCCATCGGGAATTCAACGGTGTACGAAGAACGTTGGAACCTGGCCAAATACCACGTGACAGTCGGGTGTAACTGTGCCAGTTTGGTGTGGTGGTGGGGGTGGTGGTGGTGGGGGTGGCGGACGGAAGTACAAAAGCAGGCGGAGAGACTGAACATAATGGCTACTCACAGGCGGGAGAAGAGACTTGTCGGTGTCAATTCCAAGATTTTGGTGGTGTTCAGATACTGACGAGCGGGGAGCGATTACAAGTGATACACCGAGGGACGGCGGACTGAGACAATACACATATACAAGAAAGCTAAGATTTTTTTTCAGTGCTTATGGTGTCAGTTCTTAAGTCTGTGTATCTTTGTACTCACCTTTTACGATGCTCCTCGGAACTACCGCAAATTGGCACCCGTGATCTCAACGTTTGTTTCACCATAGTCCCCCCCCCTCCTCCACCCACCCTTCCTACAGAAAGCTTTTCCTGACAACAGTTTGTTGCTCATCAGCTGTTTGGTCACCTGGTACGTGAAATCGACGCGGTTAGGGAAAGTTTTATTGGTCATAGGCGTGTGTACCACTCCTCAGCTGAAAGTTTTCAAAACTCCCGTATTGCAAACTCGGGCTTACGCAGCACCAGCAAGGAATCAGAATCTTTGTCAACGTCGTTCCAAGCAAGCGTAGCATCAATAACAACGC